CCGGCCCCCCCCCCCCCCCGTGGTGTAATGTTTGCCGGTTCTTTCCCTGGCGCGCTTGCTTTCCCGCCTGGTTGAGCTACACCGGCGCTGGGGGCACAACTCGAGCTCGCGCCTGCAGCAAGACCCGCCTCTGCTGCGGCCCCTTCCGCTCGCGCTACGGTCACCGCCGCCGCTTCCGCTGCCGGCGGTGGTGCACCGTCCGTAACTTCCTCCTCTCTCGCCTCCATCACGCTCGAGCGGAACTCCAAAAGGCGGGCCGCGGCACGAGCGACCGCTGCCCCACGCTCCCAGTCAACAGTACCGTCGGCAGGCGGTGGAACTAGGTGTTCCGGGGGAGCGTACACGGCAGCCGCGAGACCTAGGTCTTGCAACAAGGAGAGGGCGAGCGCCGGCTGGGCCATCTAGAAGGGAGATCAGATGGGGAGAGACAGCGGCAGTCGGGGAGGGTCGGCGCGCGATTGGCAGGGGGTGGTTGGTCAGGCGGAGGAGCTTTCACAACGATTTGTCTCCGTGGGAAGAAAAGGAGACGAAGCACAAACAATCGACCAATTTTGATGGCGAGAATGCCTCCTGAGGTACTCAAAGCCTTGCGGCCGACATAACCGCCAAACGAAATAATGCCCCCGCCATTCGATGGATCGCTCACCTTTCCCGTTATCATTCCGCATAGTTCCGTCCCCACCCGCTCTCGGCTGACTTTCGTGCCCAAGGCTGCCTGGATCTCGCTGTCCCGGGCCGCGGCGCGCAGATCCTAGAGTGCAACAGGAAACGATGAAGGGATGAAGGGATCAATGGCACGGGGGGGTGAACGGGGTGTACTGAAACCGTGCATGCCGTAGTTGTTAGACTATTGACCTGGCATCCCTACAAAGACGAATGAAAAAAAAGTCGAAAATGAAGGGCACGGGGGCGGGGCAATCAATCTTACTACAGGTCCTGCTGGTGTAGGATCTTTGTCAAGGCCAACGTGGGTGAATCTTGAGAAGAAACTAAGCCACAACAACCGAGATGGTCATCCATTCATTACTCTCTTTCCACGGGGAAACTCGTCATCCGAAGCGCATTACCTACGTCGTCCATGCAAGCCGAGGGTGTGTCGGCGATCAAACTGCGACGGCAGGGCTCTACTTCCGCCATCCCCAACGAGCTGTTCAAATTTCGACCCGTCGCTCGCTTGCCGAAACGTTTCGAAAAATAAACAATCACCTCGTGCAAGGCGAACCCGAAGCGTGCCGCAAAGCGCACCGCGCGGAGCACCCTGAGGGGGTCATCCCGGAAGGTGATCATCGGCGACAGGGGGGTGCGGATGATGCCGTCCCGAAGGTCGTTCACACCCCTACAGTATACATGCAGTATACATGTACCCGCAAGAGGCGGGGAAACGGGGATGAACAGCGTACGCACAGGGCGGCGAACGGCGACGTGCAAGCAGACAAGGGAAAGAACGAAAAGCATGGTCGCAATGCATGGTCTCGACTGGGCAGCGACGGGGAGCATCAGTTATCGCCATACCATCACTCAAGGCGTTACGTTTGGCCGGTTGACCAGTTCGTCGCACAGAATACACTGGGCGTACGTACATAGATGAAGGACGGTGACACAGATAAGACCAGCTTTTTTATCACACCTCGTGACGAAGCTGTGGCGGTACTTTCCCCCCTCCAAATCAAACTTAAACCTTACACCAACTCCGAAACCTGTCGTCCCTCTATGGACCTACATCCCTCCTTTCATCTCACCTCCCTGTCTTGTCTTCGACCTTCCCTTCGTTGACGTTGTAGAACAGGGCATTGAGGGTGAAATCACGGCGAAGGGCGTCTTCTTCCGCGGTACCCAACGACGTTTCTGGGATGCGACTATCTGATCTGGAGGCGCAGATAATTTACATCACAAACAAGCGGCCGCCGTGGGATAAACCGTTGTTGTTGTTGTTGTTGTGTTTGACATATCACGTCACCGTTCAACCGCCGAATCAGTGCCTACAGCGTTTTCCCCAGCGTGAGTTTTCTCTGACGCAAAAGGTAAGGTGTAAGGTGTAACGTGGACGAAACTGATGCAAAGATGCAGCCATTGCGACAAGTCGCGTCCTTGCAACCGAGCTTTCGGGTGCTGGCTACATGAGGCACATCGCCCTTACGTTCGATACAAGGGAAAAGGACCATCTGGTCGCGTGCCACAAGTGTTGCCCACCACGATTGCAGAGATATTTGATGGGGTTGTATAATGTAACCACTCTCACGAAACGTCTACCATCAAGAGTCGTGCCCCGCGGAGTGCGAGTGGAACCTTAGCCTAGCATGCGTTCGCCATCTAGCACAGAAGCGCCGCATGGAGAGTGCAGCGCAACACCACACACCTGTACACCTCGGTCCGCAGGTTGACCAAGTCGACCCACACCCCCATTATTTTCATCCGCGCAGTTTCCAGATGCTTGGACTGCTCTGGGTTCGCCTTCGGGTAGAGCGGGGCACGGGCGGGTATGCATGCGGGGGGCGATGGTCTCGCGCAGGGTCGTCCCGTCATAGATTTCATATCGATGGCTGCTCGCGGCTAAGGGCCTTCTCTCAACCCAAGCGAAACTCAAATGTACGACACGTATGTAGCGTTCGTTTTCGCGGTCATCGCAACTGCAGAGTTGTCGCAGGGTACTCCATCGGACCGAGTTTGGAAGCGCAACGAGCACACAACGCCGTGCGGCCAAAGGGGCTCACTCGGTTCATTCGTCTCCCTCCCTCCGGCCACCGACACCGTCATCGCGACGCGACAAGGCGTGCCCTACGCTATGTTTCGACTTGAGGGCCAGCGCTCGTCTGCCTTCTGCGCTCGCTCTCCGTCGTCCGACAAATCGATCAATCAGCTTCTCTCCACCTTAACCGTCGCTACATACGGCGAGGAAGGAGCGAAGGAGAGTTGACCTCACCTCGATCACGGCAACCTTGCCCTCGTCCCGCCCCTGGGATTTCAAGTAGGCGTTCACCGTCTCAGCGAACGCCACGCCGGTGCAGTTATCGAGTGCAATGTCGATGTCTTCATTCTGTGACGAAGAACGCAAATTAAGCAATGCCGCGGGGAGGGTTGAGCGCTATCAATTGACGGACGGTTTGCATCCTTGAGCGATTGAATAGCGTATGCATAAGACAACGCATTGTTTACAGCAATAACTTGAAATTTTTACTACATTTTTTGTTTTCGTTAGTACTTGTACAGGCAGCAGCCCATACATTCCCTCACCTCGAGACCCAGGAGCTTATCCCGCACCCAGCCCCCTGCAACTCTCACTACCGTCCCTGTTTTGGAATGCTTCACAGCCTCGAGCAGCATAGCCAGAATGTCAGCTTCATTCGGCTTCAGGCAGGAAACAATGTTCATCTTGAGCGTTCCTCCTTCGGCGCTCTCGCCACGGCGACCATTCCTCGGTCTTAAGGCAAGTGGGCCCATGTGCTCCCGGCTGCGGTTGGCCGCCATGTCCCCGCCTGAACCAAAAACGATGGATGCAGGAAACGACGGCAACAACAACGGATAAGTTGTTCGAACGCGCGCTGGCGAGAGCGTACATTTTCTGAATAAGGCTTGGGACCAGACCCAAGTCGGTGCATTTCATTTCTTCAAGCTTCCCTCATGTACGGCGCACGACGACACCAGCCGAAAGTAAAATTTTGCAGGAACAAAACTGACCTCTCACACACACACATGTACCGTCGTCAGTCTTCAAATAATAACTCTGTCTAAATAATTAAGTATATTTTTTTCTGTTGAGCACCACGATGTTGTAGTACGTCGTGGCGTTTGCTCAATATTGTACGCAAGACATTCAGTATGAAGCGCCACTACGACGCCTACACCTCTCATGGCATTTACTAAAGAACTGCGGAGAGCCAAGTATTACATCACGCAAAAGCTGAGGACTTGCTGTGCACAGCAGCGTACAGGTTGAGGGTTTTCTCCCCCCGCCGCAACTCACCTATGGAATCCGTCCTCTGTCGCTTGGCACAGGACATTAGCTGACAATACGCTGGCCTTTTCTTACAGTCCCTCCTCCTTGTACCCTCCTCTCACTCGTGGTGCACAGCGAGAACAAGGACAGAGTGCCAGCGGTGCACCACTGGCCGGTGGTTCCCTGTGGCATCTTGTGCATACATCTTTCATGCTACGAGGGGATCAGCAGTTGGAAATATAAACTAATTCATCCCTACCGCATAGTTTTCTACATTTTGCCGTGCTCATTGGCCCCCCCTTTCATCTCCGTTTCGCACTTTGGTTTGTCTTGCTGTGTGGGTTGTTTCTGTTGCCTTGGCTTTGGTGCGAGGGCGTCCACCGCACAGCCGAGGAGGTTGTTAGCTTTCGTCTCAGCAGTATTCCAGAGCTCGCATTCTTCTGTGAGACGCTCCCTTTCGGATAGATTCAAAGCGACAACATCACTCCCCCCGTGTGGATCCGCTCCCCCTTCCTGTAAAACATGGAGTATGGGGATGCGCTGGCAAACGACGACGATGACGACGTGTTGATGGATAGCGATGACGACCAACAGTCGGACGGGAGGTGAGGAACATAGGTCCTGATTAGATCCTAGCAAACCCCGCGTACGTTCGTGGGTAAATCCTGTGGGTCGATCTTGCTGTCGGAGGCTCGCCACACTAACCCTACCAGTGTACTTGGCACAGCAGTGACGATAATTTGCGGCGCGCAACAGCAGGCGGCTCACACACACCGGTGTTCCTGCCCACGCCGACACGCCAACACAATTGTCGTGGTGGATGACGGATTATATCCGACAAGGAAGTACAAGGGTAGCGTGGCCCGTCCAACGAGATGTCTGCGGTGAACAATCCCCCACATGCCATCGAGAACGAGTCTGGCCATTTTCACACCCCCGGCCGAAAACGCGTCTCGCACTTTTTTTTAAATTCACGACAACAGCAACCGCGAGCTCAAGAGGCTCAAGAAGTCGACAACTGCCGGCGACAACTCTGACAACGGCATGGACAGCGACCGCAGTAGGCACAAGAGCGGCAGGAGAGAACTAGAAGAAGACGTGGGCAGCAGCAGATCGTCAGGGCGAAGGAGCGGCGAGGTCGGCCATCGTAGGAACGCCGAGCACGGTGGTGGTGACGCCAACACCGATAGCGGCGGCGGCTACTCCCGCCGTCACGCCGCATCCCCGTCCTCCAGTGCCTCCGTCAACTATAACAACAACGGTAGGAAAAAGGGAATGGACTCGAGGGGATCCTCCTCGTCCCGGTCCCGATCCCCATCGCGGTCCCGGTCTCGTTCGAACTCGCCTTCAGATTGCCCGCCGCCTCCACCTCCGCGGCCGCCGCCGCCGCCACCTCCGTCCTCGTCCTCCCTCTTCGATCGCCTTAAGGCCGACTGGGGTAGGGAAAGCTGGCAGGACTTCGAGCTCTTGCAGAACAATGTGCCCGGGCCGGGAACCAAGGGGCATGGAGGTCCAGGAGCCGTGGGCGGAAAATGTGAGCGCCACACTGCGCGTGGAGCTTGATCTCTGATTGCGTAGCAACCAGTCGGTGCCAATCGGAGTGACCAGGAGTGCCGCGATGTACAAGCAGGGTGACTGGTGTCGTGGTGTTGAGCGGTTGATATTTTCGCTGCTGCGCGTATGGTGGGGCGAGCCAGTCGTGTGCAGTCGCCTTGTTGGCGCCTTGTGTACTCACTAGTCATTGCAGCCTGTAGTAAGGCTACGATTGAATAAGCAGGCTTGTCGGGGCACAGAGGCGTCCTGGTCCTCTACTGGTCGGGAGTGACGGATGCTGCATGTTCACCAACAAAATGTGTAGGACCGGTGTGCCGTGGCGCTTTAGGCACTGCAGTTGGCACATACATAGTTGCCCTTCGAAGGGAAACTTGATATTAAGCCTCAAGATCGGTCATATCGCGGTACTCCACTTCGGACAGCACACGTCCAGACACATGCAGCGTGCCCACCACGGTTATCAGTCTGTTGATGCATGTATCCATATGCGCCGCTGAGGGCGTATCGCCCATTTTCTTGCCCGTGTGCTCCCCGCGTGCAATTGCCCGCCGACTGGCGAACGACCGAAAAGCTGACATGGGCGGGGAGCTTGAAGAGCACGAGTGCAATTGCACGCCGGTCGGCGGAGACCCTAACGCCCCAACATGCTACGACGACCAGTGCCACAACTACGCTACCATGCAGGAGTGCAGGAAAGACCGGTGTAACCGTGGCTGCCGAAATCAGCGCATCCAGGTGTGTTGAACGTACATGCAATAGACAAGGCGGCGTTGTGTTACGCCCCCCCTACTTGTACTCCCTTTTGATCTCCACAAGCCCCCCCGGTGTGGTATGCATTGTACTACTGTTTGGAGGAATGTGCATCTGCGAGCACGTTGCCGTGTATGCCGACAAGGCACCAACTTGTTTTTAGAGTGAGTATCGGGATGTATGATGTTGGGTGATTGTCGACGCTAACGAGGTATGTCGTTGTAGCTTTCTCCGTTTGTTGTTACCCCAAGTGGATATGATTCTCAGAATAGAGCACGACAGCAGCAGCACGGACAGGAGTGCCGTGGCAGGGTGCACCGTCCCAGGGCAAACGCTTGGTATACCACAAGGAAGGAAGCAAATAGTTTCGTTCTTTGACACAGGATGTCTTCGCTTGTTGCTGGCCACGACTCGCAACTTGCGCCACGTCTAATCTCTCCTTGCCCCTCGCGGTCTCTGTGGGCGGCCCCGTGTATCATTCGATGTGCTCTCCGTCACACCCCTCAAGAAACGGGAGAACGCCCAGGTAGAGGTGTTCAAGGCCGATGGCAAGGGGATGGGCCTCAAGGTGATCGAGCCGGTGTCCAAAGGACAGTTCATCGCGGAGTACGTCGGGGAGGTGAGAGGTTGCTCCTGCCTCGAAACACACACACCAGAACAAAGAGGCCGCGTAGCCGCGGCTCGGTAGTAGACAAGTGATGGAATCCACAAGTATATGTGTATGTGTGTGCTTTTGCGTGGGGTGTGGTACCGGTACTCTGCGTGACGCGGTGCCAATGACGTGATAGTGTACGAAGAGCTCTGGAAAGTACTGCTGCACTGTTCCAACCGCGCTGGATGGCACACACGCCGACAAGCAACTGCGGTACGTACGTAAGGGGAGGAGGAGGCCGTGTCTCTTTCTTTGCTGTTTACAGTGTGTGTCGAATTGTACAATGAGGACCGGAATTGCTGCTGTTGCTGTTGACCCAGCTGTACACCAGTTACTCTGGGCAGTGAAGGCACCTAAGCGGTAGGTCGGTAGGTAGGCACCCGCTAATTGTACTGCTGCTGCTGTTTGACACGTGTGAGCGGGCGGTTCTTTTGTCAATGTTCCACGTGTTTGCCGCCTGTGCATGTGCAGATCATCACGAGAAAGGAGCTCAACAAGCGCATGATTTCAAGCGCAGGCACACGGAAGCTATATATGATGCAGCTCGGTGATGACACGTGAGGACGATTCCGACTGATGTGGTCCTCGATGCCCCAAATTTATGACGCCGTGTCCGTGTCGACCCTTGTGTTTGCTGTTGACGCGTCACGTGGCTTACGAGCAGAACCCTCCTGCTAGGTCGAAGAGGTTGGACGAAAACAAGTGACCTCTTTGCGGCAGAAATCGATCGGCTCGTGCGTCGCTTGGGTCGAAAGTCTGAGCCCGTGACGCCTTCTCTCACAACAGCATGTGTGAACATCATCTGTGTCATGTTGCATGTGCCTGTCGTGCAGGTACCTCGACGCCAAGAGGAAGGGAGGCATCGCTCGGTTCGTGAATCATTCGTGTGAACCCACCTGCCGTCTGGAACAGTGGACGGCTATGGGCCAGCCGCGCTGCGCGGTGTTCTCGCTGCGAGCCATGAAGGCGGGAGAGGTCTGTTGCTCGTTCAGATTCCGGTCCTTATGGATATGCTTGGATGGCACTGTGTGGTTGGGACCACGTCCTGCGTTTGTAGGAGAACTATTCTCAATCTGGGAGACGGTAGGCATGTGTACCTGTGTTGGTGGCAGTTTTTCGTTCGTGCTTGAGCGTGGTAGCGTGTGTGAATGTTGTACGTGGGTTGTCTTGTCTTGTGGCACCACAGAACCGTCGTTACAACTTAACTGGCCGTCGCGTGGCCTTTTTGTGCCCCTTCGGTCATTTTTTGGGCTATTGCGCTGCTTTAGGTAACTGTCAGATTCGACTTAGCTTTCAGATAGTAGGGTTTAGCTATCCTTTTGTTCACGCATTGAGCATGCCCTCGAAAGTTCCAATGTTCTTAGGTCAAAATAGTACGGTTGTATCAGAGACATCTCGAGACCCCATCCTCTAAACACATCACTATGCCGATTGGTGAATTACAGTCACCTTAGGCGTGTCAACTATCCTGTGGTTCTGTATTCTACGAGACATTTGTATATTATGTTGTGCAACTCGAAGGCACTTGCTACGAGACGATGTTGCGGTTTGTGACGTCAAGTCGGAGATTGTCGCACCTGAGTAGGAATGGACGGAACATATACCAGTGCCAATGCCCGTTTCGGACGTTTTCTGCGCGGCACAGGAGTTATCGTTCGACTATCAGTGGGAAGCGCACCATCTCCGAGAAAACACCAAGTGTCTCTGTGGCTCGGCGCAATGCAGGTGAACACAAATACATATGAACCATCATTGTCATCGAGCTCTGGTACTAGCTTCTGGGTGTGTTGGGTACCAGAGCCGCGCTAATGGGCAGAGAGGTAAGCACACAGACGAGACGGACCGATTAGTTCCTGGATCGTTTTCGATTCTGTTATCTCGATCCCGTTTATTTTCGGCTCGGGACAGTACCAGCGCTTTAGGGGGGAACTAATAGTTGTCTTTCCACACCCATCCCTGCTCTCTGTCACTTGTCCGACAGCAAGCGAGGCGCCGTACCGATTGTGTACGGTGCAAATACCAAATAACCTACTCGGCGTTCTCTATGCACACAGTTTGCAGGCGTACCTGTGATATGTTACCGCCCTAAGTTTTGCGCATCTTCACCCGTTTCCCCGAAATGCATCGCTCTTCCCTCCTCTCGAATAGGGGAACGATCGAGGTGATTAATCCTCACGCAGACCCCAACGTGGAGTCTGGCGGAGGTCCGTTTGCCCGCGGTCGTGCCCCGGCTTCGGCGATGGGAGTCTGGCGCACGCCTAAGAACGACGAGTACGCTACCCCGGAGGCGCTTGTTGGCCGAAAAGTGCGGGTGTACTTCGACGGGGACTGCACCTACTTCGAAGCACAGGTATGCATGCATACGTGCGGTGCAACCTTACCTACCTGTTGGTATCTTGGTTGGCTTGATGTTGTCGTTGCTGTTGTGTATTCGCGGATGGGTTCCGTCATTGGCGCGTAGCAGCAGTAACAGCAGCAGGGATGAAGTTGTTCCCCCTCTGGATGCGTTGTTCACTCATGCGGACTCTACCGTTTCCCGAAGCTACAGTAGTTGACGCGGCAGAGGGACAAACCCGCTCCAATTTTACGGCAGCCATCTTCTGTAATTAAAAAGTACGCCGACGTCGGCGTGGTGTGTAGTGTTTGCTCGAGCGGCACTCAAGACTTTCCTCAACCCTGCCGGCCCGCGCGCGTGCCGAGTCCTCGGCGCGCCTGGTGTGCGGCGCGCCGCGCCTGGTGTGCTCCTCTTGCTGATCCTTCTGCCGTAAATCGTTGACCTTTCCACTTGGAAGAGTTGTACCGTCCGTTCCCGTCACATCCGAAGCGGAACCCACCAACAATGTGACACCATGCCATCAGGTGAAACGGTACAAGCCAGACACCAAGACGCACATGCTCCTCTATGCGGGGGAAGGAGAGAGGGAGCTTGACGAATTGGAGGAGGACCTCATTGGCGTTCAAGGGAAGATACAGGGTATCGACAAGTGGCAGATTTGGGAGCAAAGCGATAGGTGAGGGGGGCATATTGGTGGTTGAATGGGCCCACAGGGGGATTCGCGGCGGCCAAGGATCGTTCGTGTAGCTCTTGCAGCTCAAGCCAACCAAATATCCCGACCATTCCGCGAGTCTGGCACTCCGTGCGTGCTCAATATAAATATTCGTATTTCCCATTGACAGTTGAAAAACGATGCGTGGAACCCTGCGGCAGCAACCGTAGCAACCGCTGTCCGCCATTACCATGAGATCCATGCGCGTGGTAATGTGGTAAAGAGTACGCAGGGCATGTGCACCGTTTCTCCTCAACACCGTGGTCTGTATCATCAAATTGAGACCACACGGGGCCTACCGCACTATCGCACCACTTTTCCTTGGCGCAGGGTGCTCAAAATCAAGAAGAAGGAACAGGCTGGCGATATTTCCTTGGGGCCTGAGGGCTCCTCCTCTGGCTCCCGAAGGCAAGTCAAGGCGAATCTACCAGGCACTGCTGTACGCACCATTGCATGTTTGCCAGCTACATACTTACCCGAGTAACGCTTTGTCACGCATCGCTTTGTGACCGCTTGTGGGGCTGTCAACGTCGACGTCAACGTCGATCTCAATCCAATGAAGCAAGGAGGAAGGCAGGACAGGCCTGCTCGTTCCTATCGATTGTCGGGTCGTTTTGCCGTGCTTTCATGTTCTTGTGGTATACAGTTGCTCTGGGTCTAAAGCCGTTAGATGTTCGTTTCGATTCCTCCACGCTGCTATAGCTGCCCAGATGTCGAACCAGTCGAGGAAGGCTTCAATTCAGTATCCGTATTGCCGGTACAATATGTCTCCGCAAAAACCGGCCGGCATTTAGTACCTGAACCGAAATGGCGCCGCCCTCCCCCAAGAACACGCCTTCCCTCCACCATTGATCTTTGCAGGACGAATGGGAATGGCCAACACACGTACGGCGGCTCGCAACAAGGTGGCGACGGGAGACACTTCGCCAGCCGTTTCGGACCAGTGCTGCCCCAAATGCAGCAAATGCCCCCCGGAATGGGCATGGGGATGGGCATGGGGCACGGAACGGGGAGTTTCTCTGGGATGATGGGGATAGGGGGGCCGCCGATGCCTCCGCGTGCCCCCCCTCCGCCTCCTCCGCCGCCACCGCCACCGCAGCCGGTTGGGCCGCGGGTTGCGGAGGAGTTCATGGTGCCTTTGAAGGTGCCCCCGCCGTGCCGTACAAGTGCCTGTGTTTGGTACTGCTACCGTCCTTGTTCGGTTGTGTTTTGTTGCCAAGCAATTTCAGACGCTGCAAGCCTTGGACCTTGTAATGTTGTTAAGCACGAAACCATTTACCAGGTATTGTTGTACAAGCGGATTTATATTTTTGCCAGGAACCGGTTTGTCAGGAGGTGCTGCGCACACCGTTGCACCGCTCATTGTCTCGTGTCGTGACTCTCTCTCTCTCTCTCTCTATCTCTCTCTCTCTCTCTCTCTCTCTCTCTGTGTGTGTGTGTGTGTTATGTTGCACGTCCTCCTGTTACACAGGACACCCCACAGGTGTACGGCGGGTCTGAATTAGTTGAACGGATCAAGGCACGAACAGCGGTGTACCTCCTGGAGCTTGTCGACGAGGAGGATGCGCGCGCCAAACAGTGCCCCGCCGGCCAGAGACTACTTCGGGTTGCCGGGGGGCGGGACCAGGTGGGCCAGCACACCGGAACATATAGCGTGTTCTTCTTCGATACAGGGACCAGCCGAGCGCCTTGTTCGTCACTTGCCGGTGTTCGAGGCACAATGGGGGGTTTGTTGGTGACGTTTGGTATTTGCTTACTTATATCCAATTACAGCAGGTTGCGACTTGGTTTCAAGCTCGGGCTGGTGACTGACTGGACAGGCGTGTGCTGGATATGCCGCTTTCCTTTTTTTTTCCCGCGGCAATGCCTCGTCTTCCGCCGCAGGTGGTATTGTGCCGCGATGTATGAAATATTTCCCAATACATGTTTGGCGAAAATAGGAACTACCGCCACGATGAATCTATATGGCTAACACAAGCAAACAAACTGAAAGGTTCTTTATGCTTGGCGCCCCCCCCCCCCCCCTCCGGTTCTGGTCATACCCCCTGCTTGTCTATCCTGTTGTGTGCGAAGGTTAGTGCGGCGGTTGATATCCTCCGCGCCGAGGTGGTGTCGATGCAATCCTTCGAGGACTGGCTGGCCGGTAAGAGACACCGCGAGGCGCAGGAAGCGGCCGAGACCAGGGACCTAGAGGATGCCGCTAAGGCGCAGGTCGACCGTCCAAGACTTCGCTCCTGTATCGGCAGCGGTGAGAGCGAGGGGGAGAGGGGGGACGGCAGAACACGTTTGCTCGCTGGTTTCTGTACGATACGTGCTAGAACTCCCTGAACGAAACCGTTTATGCGCAGCTCCATTGAACTTTGTGATGGCTCCGCGTATTCCAACGCCGCTCTGATGCCTGCCTGGTGATACATATCTCAGCCGACCACGCGCCCCCGGGAATACTGGTGCTGTACGCACTTCTCACGCTGTTTTTGTGTTCAGTTTGTGTCCTCTCCCCTCCCCAACTACAATACATGGATCGATATATCCTCCCGCCCCTTTCCCCAACAGACTGGCACTGCTTCTCGAAGGAGGTGGTAGCGCAGATAGCGGCGAACAAGGTCTTGGCAGATCTTCGCCGCAATGCTCTTCACGTCGTTCGGCAGGTGTCAGAGAGTGGCTCGGGTACAGCAGTCAACTCGGCGCCGCTAATCTGCCATGCGGTGCGTGCTGCCAAGCCAAGGAAGTAGCTCGAGCTCAGGTGTAAACGTTGTGTAGGTGCTGGGAGAGCGGTAACTTTTCTCTGTTTGGTGAGTTGGACATGGCACGGCATTATGGCACGGCACGACCGATTCACGACAAAGTCTACTGAGAACGTCTCTGAAAATGCGTTCCACACGAACGCCGTCGAGAGTCTCGCGCAGCGGTTTTGTATCAACTTCTGTACGGATCCGGCAGCCTTCGAACAACCCAAAGCGCACGCATGCAACAGCAAGTAACAGGGCCGGCTCAACTCGAGACCCCTTTCCTTTGCCTTGTAAAAACACGATGGAAACAGGGCATACTTCTTCACCGCTACCTGGCCGTGCTCTGCGTGTCCACGCCCGCGGAAGCCGCAAGCTCCGCCACGAAGAGCACGGCAACCTCCTCGGACACCGGCGGCGCCAATGGCACCTATGGCAGCGGCGGTAGCAGCAAGAGACGCCAAAGCGGCGGCAGCAGCAAGGGCACTAAGGACGGCAAAGACATGACCCACGCAGCAAACGGTGGCGGCAGCACTGCCGCCACCAACGGGATCAGCACCGCCACCACAGGCACCGCCGCCTCGGCGAGCGGAGGGCGGGCCCGCCTGGAGACAAACTTCTACGTTCTCGCGACGGCGTGCCTGCTGCTGGCGAACAAGTCCCTCCGCGCCCGTGTGGGCGTGGCGCGTCCCCGAAGAAGAGAGGAGCTCCTGAGGGCTGCCTACGGGGTGCAGTTCCGCGGGAGGGCGATGGAGAAGGGGACGGCGGAGGTGGTGAAGTGGGAGGGCAAGCTGGCCGCGGCGGAGCTAGAAGTGATGGTGGCGCTGGGGTTCGACTTGCACCTGGCGGATCCGTTCGAGGCCCTCGACCAACAGCGCCGGCAGCAGGTGACCGGGCGGTGCTGACGTAGTAGGTGTTGGTGGTGCTGGGGGAGGGGGGGGACGCTGGGCGGTTTGTTGCGGGTGTTGCAGGCGAAGTTGGCTGCTCTTTGATGTCGTAGAAATTGTTGTCCCCGAAATATTTCTCTCTCGTCGTCAAGCTTGAGGGCGAAACGAGTGACAGCAGTGCCGCGCAGTTGAAACAGACGTGTTTTATTCTGGCAAGAGCACGAAATTCTCTCTGTTCTTTCTCCGCTCACTCCTCTCTAACGCATCGTTGTCGTTGCTGGGGCCATGGCTTTCGTATTGACGCAGTTGATCACTCCCGAGTGCCATGAGAAGACAAGATCACTTGTGCTGGAATCGGTCACCCAAGGGTGCTCCATGTGGCTGCAGTTCGAGCCGGATGTGGTAGCGTTGTCGACCTTGCTGCTTGCCATCTGGAGTACTTCCAACCAGCATGATCTCCTTATCAAGGTACGTCTCGCTTCAACCGTTCGTATTCTGTTGCGACAAGAACAATGTTTTGACGCGATCGGCGTGTTTTGTTTGCGTTGTCGTGTTTGGTTGGCAAATACCGCACTTCCACCACACGGGTCCAGCGAAAGAATGAAGTGTTCGTGTTTTTTCAACCTTAAGCCATCTCGGTGTGCCCGATTCCGACTGACGACCAGGCTCGGCAGTTCTCGGTGAATGCTGGGGGCACGTGGCCGGCAGTGCTGGCGTGCACTCAGTCCCTTGCGAGGTCCCTACCGTCCCTGGGAGACAAGGTCGACGCCGGACCGGACGGTGTGGCCGCTACGCTGAGGCAGGTGCCGACCGTTGACCCATCGCAGTACCCCGAGTTCGAGAGTCCGCTAATGGCGGCGAAGGAACGGCTGACCCAGAGGCGGCGCGCGGAGGACGCTGTGGCTGATAAGCAGGTATCCTAGAGGATCACGGGGAGGGATGCACCCTCGCTTTTCATCCCGCGCGTCATGTACGTGTACAATGCGGTAGCTGATGCGATTGTTGTCCGTTTTTAAGGGTTGTGTATCGGCGCAGCCGAACGATATAATATGTATCGGAGATCGGCGCACCCGATATAACGATATTTTTTCGATATATCGGCTTCGCCGATATATCGAAAAAATATCGGCGAGCGAAGNATTTTTTGGGTGATTTTGGGGCAGCGAGGCCTCATAGGGGGTCCAAACGTGTAAATGTTGTAACATATGCCCCCTTTTGATTCACGGAGCCCCCTCAAATATATCGCCCAACATATCGGGGCTGACAATAGATATTCGATACGATATATATCGTCCGATTATATCAAACATATCGGCTCCGATACACAACCCTACCGTTTTTTTATTCCATGACGAGTGATGGGGGCCCTCTTGCATGGTGGGTGCCTCGAGAGTGATCGCTGACAGTTGTCCTGTCAGGATGACGGTCTCTTGCTACGGAAGATAGATGGGGACAAGCAAGCCTAGGTCAAGCGACCCAAGCACCTACCCTCGGAGGCCTTGTTCGCGCACATCCTATGCATGCATGTTGAGTGGCTCCTCCTTCCCACGTACCCATCGCTCGCCCGCTGCTTGCTTGGCGATGGCGATGGCGATGCTACCGTGCTACCGTGCTACCGTGCTACCGTCTGCTGCATGTGGTCGTGGTGCTTCAGCTGCGGACCACCGACCTGCTGATGATGAGAAAGGCCCAGGATAGGGCAGGGCTGCACGGCGGGCTTGGAGGGTTGCAGGGCATGAAGGGGCTGGCGGGATTCGGAGCCACGCTGGCGTCCAACAAGTTCGTTCGCGCGGCCATACGGGAAGATGTGCGTTGGTCCATCTCTCAATCCATCCCTCTTGTCCCTCTTGTTTCTACTGGTTCTGGTTAGTCGGGCAGCACCATCCATCGGCCACGTATTTGTTTAGCTAGAGTGTGCGTGGCCGAGGACATGCAGCCAAGTCTTGGAAGCAATCACGTACTCGACCGCAGAGGGGTTTCATGCACGAGCGCTTTGTTGTGGTTCTGCTGCATTGATACCGACTTGCAGTCACTTCACTTCACTTCACTTCACTTCACTTCACTTCACTTCACTTCACTTCACTTCACTCTTTGCCTGTAGAATGTGCACCTTATAAAAACAGCAGTTGCCTTGGCGTGTTGGAAGCAAGAGACCCAACAGAAAAACAGCGCTTGGAAAATTATCCAGTGCTTCTATTCTCAGCAGCAGGTTCGATACTCTCTGTTGTTCGTTTACGACCACGGTCCGCACGACCCATTTTTTGCGACGCCAGACCCTCAAGGCCGCCGGGTTGAGTTGTCTCCTGCCTGCTCTAGACGCCTGGAAAGGGTCTACTGTGAAAGGACCGCTGCCGGGAGTAGACGAGGGACGGACCATGGAGATATATCTGCAGAGGTGGCCGGCGGATAAGAAGGTGCGATCTTTCTCTCTGTCATGCTGTCGATGAGCTAGCTGCATTTGATCATTAAACCTTTTTTTTAATTGGCATATTTGGTATTGACGTATGATAGATAGTGTGCACGAGTTTTGGACGCTTTTGGCGTACAGTACTTAACAGTACATGTATTGCTGTTTCGTGCAGGTTGTGGCTTTGTTGTGCTCATGCTTGGAGAAATGTGGCCCATGTGTTCGCATCTAACTTCTCCGTTTCGTGTATGTACACGCGGTGTATTTCTTGGTTTTTAGTACACACGAGACTTTGACTATAAAGCACCTTAATGCTGTGGTACTGTACCCGTTGCTTCCACCTTGGGCAGTGTCATTTCGTCGTCAACGTCTTTGGCGCATTTTCGGCGCATGCGCCACATGTCCCCGCCTGTGACCTCTTGTATGTGCGCGTTTGTCGTGTTGCCCTGCATTACCTGGGTCCTTCCTTCCACGTAGGAGATGGACATGGCCAGCGGCTTCAGCTCCTCGGGAGTGGCTGAACTGGCGCTGTTTCAAGAGATGCACTCCTACAGCACCAACACTACCGGACACAGCACCCTTCTCGTGCCCTTCGCGGTGGTGAAGGGAACAGGTACAGTACGTGCCCGCTTTTCTCCACATCCCTCCTGGAGATGATGGGATGTTCTGCCAAAGACACGAAGGTTCAAGTTGTTGCTGCAAGGTGCCAAGCATGAACCGTTGTGGCGTGCTAGGGTGCCCGGCATGCGTGCTAGCTTAGTTCTACCCGTGTGCCTCTTCGCCCTTGCAGTTTTTTTTGTTTTGGTTTGTAGACGCATCCTGTGTGATAACGGTTGTTTCTCTGTCGACGTCGTTGACATTACGTTCTCTTTGTCAGGGCTCAAGCCACCGACTAAGATCGGAGCACCAGGGTCTTCCAAGGCTTCGTCTGACCGGAACGCCGCCGGAAAGCTCGACAAAGGTGCTGCAGCCGCTGCCGAAGGTGTATCCCTGGCGGCGGACGAGAGAACGACGGCCGTGATAGGCATGGACCCTCTGGGCATCGACGGCGTGCCGATGTCGATGGGTTTGCAGCAAGGGGCCGACGCGGATCCGGCTGCCAGCGGAGGTGGCGAGGGGGACGGGGAGAAGGCGGGCCCTTCGAAGGTGCGTGAACGCTTGGTTGGTTGATTCAGGACCAGGTTGGAGTTTCGTCTTTCCTCCGGTGCGATGTGTGTTCGGCGAGTGGCTTCAAAAGGCGGCTGTTTTTTCGGTAAGGCAGGGATGTGCTCGCTTTTCGTGGAGTCGGTCGACACTTGGCGTTGTGTACCACCTGCTGGCTTCTTGTCGTCACGTCGGGGGCATGAGAGCGTGGATAAGCCTGTGCGCGTCGTTGTGCTGCAGCCAGCGGCCAGTTAGCCAGTTAGCCAGTTACAAGGACCATCCTCCGCCTCGCACCGATGGCTCTTTGTCCCAGCCCCCTAGGTTTGACCAATATGCTCACTAGTGGCGGCCGATGCCCCCCTACTCGCGTGTCTGTCTCTCGCGTGTCTTGTGACTGGTTTGCCATCCGACCGTTTCCAAGATACCGGATGAGCTCCTCAAGCCGAGCTACTTGCTTCTCGAGCCCGTTCGCTACACGCTCGCGGAGATCTTGAGGCTCTGTCGCCGCCCGATGGTTCTCCCTGGACCCCTAGTGCGATCCATGCTGCAAGACCTTTTGGGTGCGGTCGCTCTCTGCCATGATCGCAACGTTGTCATCAAATCCTTGGACGCAGAAAAGGTGAGGATGGTACAACTTAAAATTCGTCGTTATGACGTAGTACCTCGGTGCACGTTGCGATTCACATTACTCGATTTTTAAGCCTCACTGCTGCGTTGTGCATTCAATCCGTTGACAGCTGGAAGTAGACGTGCATTTGCACACGACTACGATTGACGCGCTTCATGGCACCGAATCTTCGGTGGGCCAATGTTGTTCACATTCCGCCCTTTGCTCGTTGTGGGGGTGCTTTGTACGGACGACAGCACCATCGTGACTGCCGAAAGGAAACACACTGATTGGCGCGATGAGCTTAAATTTGTCGTTGCCGGTATCCCGCAAGTTCCTCTGACCAGGCAGTGTTTTCGTCGGACAACTCGGGACGTGGTTGTGCGAGCGACACTTGTTTTGTGTGTTGATGCATGCAATCTGTCTGGTTCTGTCCCAGGTGTATCTCAACGTATCAGGCTGCCTGAAGCTGGGATGCTTGGCCCAGGCCATGATGGTGGCCCCCGAGGACGCAGCGACTACACCCAACGATGGGATGAATGACATGGATGAAGACGTGGAAGGAGAGGTGGACATGGAAGTTGAGGTGAGGCTCACCACGAATGACAAACGGTGCGTTCGGCAATGCGCACATGTCGCGGGATGTAGCAGGGCCGCGTGTCCTTGTATCTACTTCGCAACGGTATTTCCTTGTCTGGTAATGCTAATATCTTGACACTCCGTGTTTGTCCTCGCCGTCCTTTCCCCCCTGGTGTGGACGTCTCAGGAGACCCCGGCCGGCCGTAAGGCGGCGCACAGAGAAGGGAAGCTGCGGATGAAGCAGGAAAAGCTGCAAAGAGAGAACGCCTGTAAAAAGGTGACGTCTAGGTTGTATGTGTCGACGGTGTCGCTTGCGTTTGCGACGAATTGGCAGCGTTTCGTACATGTAGGCAGGCGTGCCCGCGATGAACATGGGTGGTCAGCTTCTGGTCACACCGCAGAGCGGTAACGTTGGCCACCTCCCTCCCTCGTTCCCGTGAAGTGATGGCGCGCAGTGTTAAAGGAATACATATTCATAAACGAATTCCCACAACGAATTGTAACGCGTCTCTTGTGTCTCTCGGTTACAACCTTGCGAAAAGGCTGTTGCAGCTGTGACGAAAGACGGCGAGCCGGCTAAGACCGTGCTATGGGGCATGGCTCCAGAGGTTGTCGTGGACCAGAAGCATCCCCATGGTCCGGCAACGGACATCTGGGCAGTGGGGTGAGATTGCCCCCCGAGGCTCGCTGTTTCCCTTCAAGTTAGGCGCACATGGGCATCAATCGCTCATGTAGCGATGAAGTTGTCTTGAGGTCACTTGGTCGGCTTAAGTTTGTGTGCCGGTCTTTGTTCTTGAAGATAACGCAATGTCGGCTGTCACCTTCGCGGCGGTGGCGGACAATCCTGTTCGGATTGCTCCACATAAACTTCGCGCCCGGGCTCTTCATTTGTCGTTTGGCGCACCTTGACTTGATCGAACCGAACCCTTTCGCACTCCCCGGGCGGTGCACCACCCGGCTCTTCATTCGGCAGGTGCCTCGCTGCGCAGCTTGCCCTGGGTAAGCCCATATTCGGTGGTCGCACGCGCAAGCAGCAACTAGAGTACGTCTTCAAGTGCTGTGGTTCTCCCGGCCAGGGCCGGTGGCCGGAGGGGAACAAAGCCCCGCTGTACCGGCACTTGCGGCCCGTGGACAAGGAGGGCAAGAGCCTACACTTCAAACCCCGCCTCGACAAGGTACGGCAGCGTTGGTTCTCCGCAGTCTGTAGGCATGTCCCACGTCTCCTCAATGTAGAGTGTACACCAGTCTAGCTGGAATGACTCGTTTCACGATGCTTTGACTCAGCCGCAGCAGCTCTGGAAGGTTTTTCGCGAACCGATGCCTATTTGGAAGAAGCTTGTGTTTTGTATCGAGCTGTTGGCCGGTAGGACTGCGCGCTCCCCCCCGTCTTCTATCTTGTTCTGTTTCATACCTTGGAGCGTGCAACCACCAAACGATGGCCTTCTTTATTTCTTCGCTCGTCTCGTATGTTTCCGCCATGCAATCGTGTAAAATCATGTAAACTGCAACCGAAGGTTCTTGCGGCGGAGGGGAACAAAGGCGTTCCCCTCGACCCAGCGCTGGCGGACTTGTTGCAAGGTCTCCTCAAGCTCGACTCGCGGCATCGCTTGAGTGCGAGGGACGCCCTGGCGAGCCCTTACTTTGCGCCCAGGCATGGGCAGCATGACGAAAGGGTGAGAGCACTGAGGAGTTCTGGTTGGATTTTTTTTGTGTTGGACTTGCCGCTGCAGAGCTGTACAGATAATCCTGCACACAACCCGGAGAAAATGCTGTTGAAGCTGCAGGCTCTGCCACCGATCGATTTCCTATGGTGATTCAACCTAGTAACCCCGTCAATGTGTGCATCCCTTTCACGGTCTCCCTCTCGATTCTTGACACACATAACATGACGTGACACGGGCGTGCAGCTGGATGCGTGGGTTACCTTGCGGGGTGACCTAGATAAGGTGCAGATGGGAGTGGCTACGCCAGATCAGCTCCGCGGCACGTTCGCCGCCGCCAATGCGCCCACGGGGCCTCCACCTCCACCGCCCCCGCGCAGAGGTCTCGCCGATGCTCCTCCCCCGCCGCTTTCACCTAGGGACGACCCTTCAGGACACCCTAGCCAGCACGGCCGTCCACAGAGGGATAGGAAAGAGGAGGAGCGTGCGGGGCGCCGCTCGCACGCCGATAAGGCACGCGAAAGCAGGCGTGCGGGAGGAAGGGGTGCCGCGACCCCTTCCCCGCCACGCGAGGGCCTACACATCTCGGTACAGCTTCCCCTGAAGCCTGATCCACCCGGAGGGTATGGCGAACTGTCGGTAGAGAGGACTGGCAGAGCGGGGCGGGCAGATCGGGGACGCCTCGAGGATCACATCAAAAGCCGTAGCTCAAGCCCTAGGGGAGGTAGGAGGCGGAGTCCGGCGAACGTCAGGAGGGAGCGGGAGTGGGAGCGGCAGCGGGAACGCGAACGACGGGGAAGGAAAAGGGACCGAGGGAGGGACAGGGGTGTAACGAGGTCGCGCGAACGCGAGTGGCAGGGCGGTGAACGGTCGGGCAGGGACCCGCGCCGTGGTAGTCGTTGACGATACTAGTAGCACTCCCTCGGCGGTATGGCATATAACACGGCGGGATGTTCCGTCCCGTAATGGGGTTATTTGATTTAGGCGCGATCGCGATTGTAAGAGAGAATAAGTAATCACCCCAAATGAATGGCTTTAGTAGGTTTGGGCTGACGGCTGTGTCGGGAGGTGACACTGTGAGATAGGGGCAGTGGTGTTGACAGTTGATTTGGGGTCTTTGTTGGATCTTGGGATCATGCAGCCAGCGCACAAGAGAACCTTAGTGGCGTGAGTATGGGCTGCGTGGAGTCGGTTCCACGTACAGCGAGAAGGTCAGGCACGCGATGAAAATGTTGAGGTGCCGAAAAAAAGTGGCGCCAGAGCAAAAAAGGACTTGTGCCGGTGTGACCTCTGTTTGTTGATCGGATCAAATGAGTTCGTTAGACCAGTATAATTCTTCGTTCTTCCTTCCGTAGTCGAGGGTGAGGCCTCCGTTCAATTGACTGTCTGAATTCCTGTGTGCTGCTGTGACTTGCTAAGCCCCGAAGCCGTGGCAACGAGTCGCGCACTTTTGGGGCGTGAAGAAACAAAAATCACGAAATACATATGCATGCGGTATATCCTGCTCGGGCCTGATCGCTTTTCTTGATCGATCAAAACTCTTTGGGACACAAATGCGAAACATCACAAGCAATGGCCTGGCCAGAAGTTTTGACTACTTTCCAATGCACCTGTGCATTGTCGGTATCCGTACGAGTCCTACCCACCTTCTTACGGCAGCTCCTCCGGCATCGACCACGGACGTTCCACGAGGGATCGTGATGTTTGTTAAAGTCTCGTTTACTGATGGTGCGCAATATGCTCCCCACCAACATGGATAACTACCATTCCACCCGCTCGTTGAGTTATCGCAGGCCCTTCTTGATCCTTGCCAACCCTCTCATGAGTTTCAAAGCAAAGGCCTACGTCGCGCGCCACAAGGCACGACGGCAACAGCGCAAAACTGTCCGTGTAACCCCTAGATCCACATCCCTGCTTTGTCTCAAAAAAATTTGGTGTTTATCTTATCTACCTTCCACGTACTTGGAAGAAGATGGCCCTACACAACGGTTCGGAACGGGATTGTACCACGGGCCTTTCATTCTACACGCCAAGCACGGCACAACAGTAAAAAAACATTCGCCCGAGCTAATCCAAGTCAAACACAAAATAGTGTACCGGTTGCGCAGATTGTGGCAACAGACCATATACAGTAAGGGATGATGAAAATCTGAAAATACCGTTGACAAGAAGAAAAAAACAAGCACATACACTATGCAAACAAGTGTCGCTCGGAGGTACGTAACCCCCGACAAATCGAATGCAACACTCAAAAACCGCTCTTGTGCTGCCGTATGTGAACGTCAGTCTTCAAAAGTCGATATTAACTTACCTGTGGAGCCCGCCGGAGGCTGCACCTGTATCAACTTGTGCAGTCGTTTCTTTTCTCCCAAAACAAACTTACAGGCGCAGCGGCGCAATTCCAAGTAGGCAAAAAATCAAAAATAGAGGGCACTGCCGTACGCGCGGCAAAAAATGACTCCGACGCCTCAATCTTCCCCTCGACTCGCCCAAGATTCATCCAACTGGTCAACATGTATGAAACAGAAATCCATCTGCATACAATGACAGCGATAGACAGCAGGTCTTGCACGACACAAAGCACGAGGGGCGCCGTCCGTCGTTTTCAATCCGGCACTGACCTACCCATAAAACGCACAACCACAACTTTCACACTTGCCATGCATCCCCCCGTTCCGACAAACACCGTCAACGCAGCGCCTTCAGCGTCTTTAAACCTCAGCCGACGTGAGCCTCGGGACGCCACCACCGTGCTCATTCGCCCTAGAGGCCGTGCTCAGCACGCCACCGCTGTTGGTGACGGCGGTGGGCACAACAGCGTCGTCCGGCGACGGGTACGCTACTTCTGCCATGGACCTGGACCTGTGGCGACGAGTGTAAGGGTCCCTGTCGAAGAAGTTGATGATCAGGGCTTCTCGCATGCCCTTAGGGTGGCGCGACACTTGGGGCACGAGCGGGTCCTCGTCCATCACGACGTCCATATCATCCGACATGAGCGCCTGGGCCTTGCTGGAAATTTAGAGTGAAGAGGGACGTGAGGATGAAGCGGGTGAGCGGCGTGCAGCACTAGGTAGACGGCGACAAATAACTGCCGTCTCCTAACTCTGGTTGACATTGGCGGTTAAGACGTGTACCGTTGACTGTTCAGATTTGGTTGGTGGGACTTTGTGCGCAGACCAAGCAAAACACTACCGGAGGTTGGTGAGTTCCTGAGTAGAAATTTAGGACCAACTCCAGACCGCACTAATCCGGTTGCCACTCACGTCAGGACGCGCAGAGAGTCCTTTTTAATCCTGCGCAGGCGGAGCTTCTTGCCGGCGTTCGCATAGCGCTCTCCAAGAGTCTCGAGGGTCTTCATGGCACTGAAGTCTTCGATATCGGCCGTGTGCAAATGGACTTCCACCATGCGAGGGTCGTTGCGGTGATCGAAGAGGTTGAGGAACGTCTCACTGGATGCGAAGAAAAGGTTGCCCATGATCTCGTAAACCTTGGCGTCGAAAAAGAATGTGAAACATGAAAAGGAGAACATACAGCAGTGTTGAGGAAGCGAGGCCGTTTCATTCTTCGCACGTCGAACACCACAAAACAGTAGTCTCTTTTCCTCAAAAAGCTCGAGCGAGCATACCTTTATGATTGCAGGATCCTTGACGTCGTAACCTGCACGGAAGTAACTTTGGGCGGTGACCGCCTCCGAATTTTTCCACACGAACGCGAGGCACGCAACGGCGATACCGATGCCGACCGCGATGGCCAGATTCGTGAACGGGGTGGCCACAGTCACCACCACAATAATTAGGGCGTCAGCGCGTGAGATCTTCTTCTCGAACACTGCCTTGTGCGAGCGATACCTTTCCGGGAGTGCAGCTGCAAGCACCATCAGAGTGCTCCCCCAATCGAACGTGTTGAAAGCGATAACGAGCATTACACCCACGAGCCCTGCCAGTGGGATGAGGTTGATCGCCGGAGATGCCCCTAACACCACGACTAGCACGAGAAGCCCTGCTACTGTCGCAGCGATGCGCGTCCGCCCACCGCACTCGACGTTCACCATCGTGAGTCCGATTTCCGAGTTCCCGCCCTGACCGCCGAACACCCCGGCCACGAAGTTGCCCACGCCACCCACGATAGCCTCGCGATGGATGTTGGATGAAGTCTGCGTGATCTCGTTCACCAAGCGGACCGTCATCAGAGACTCCACAAGTCCCACGGCCATCAGGCTGATTGCCGTTGGGAGTATTGTCGCGAACGTGCTGCCGTTCAGGGGGGGCATGTCAAACTCGTCGTCGAACCACGCCGGCTGTGGGAATGAGCCGACGTCGTTGGCAATGTCCTCCAATGTTCTCGTTCCGTCGTGTCCGGCTGCGAAGCGCACGATCAGCCACTCCACTGCCGTAGCCACGATAATACCTACCAGGATAGGAGGGAGCATCTTGAACACAGCCCAGGTTCCCTTCAAATTCTTGGTCAGCATGGGGTACACGACAATCGTGATCATGGTGACGACCACGATGAGCAGCGTGTACCACAGCTGTGAGCCGCTCAGCCACTCGGAACCGTCGGTGAAAACCGAGAAGCTGTTGAGGCGGCGCCGGGAGCCGTCGCCTTCGTCGTCGTCGCCGCCCGAGCCCCCGAGAGAGAGGCCCTCCTGGAAACTCTTCATCTGCGCCAAGAAGAGAACGATGGCCAGTCCGTTCACGAAGCCGATGATGACGCTCACGGGCATCAGGCGGAGAAGCTTCGCAACGCCTAGAAAGCCCAGCGCGACTTGGATGATACCGGCCAGAATAAAGGCGTAGAACACCATCTCCGTGCCCTCATCAGCCACAAAAGGCTCAATGATCACGCCCATGCTACCCGAGTTGCTGTACACCATACCGGTGCGCCCTGATCATCAGGTGATCAGACAGCAGAGAAAAAATACAACAACGCGTGCGTGTCAAGGGAGGGATCAAGCCTTCAGTTTGCTACGGCGGCCCTGTAGCCAGCCAGCCATGGACCTGTGGGGGGTGCGTTTTCGAAGATTGAGAGGCCGCATGCGCCCTTCCAGGCGGGACTGGCCGTTCTCAGGGTCTCAACACAATCACATCGAAGTTTGAATTTTGAATTTTGAATTCTACGGCCGGCGGACGCACGCGGAAATTGGGGGGGGGGG